CATTCGATAGATAGTCACCCATAGATAGATAGTCACCCATAGATAGACTATCACCCATCATTCGATAGACAGTCACCCATAGATAGATTGTCACCCGTCATTCGATAGTCACCCCTGCCATAATTCAGATCTTGAAGTTTTGAATCAGTCATAAGAATCCATAACCATATGCCACACTCACCTGACACGAGCTTTACACTTTCTTATCCAGCGGCCAGTTAGCTGCCATCTAGGAGCGTCATCAGTGTGCTATAGCTGCCATAGCCACGAGTGCCATAGCTGCATTAGTGTGCCTTGTGCGACGCAAACTCACACATCTATTGTACAGTGATATCCGGCGCTTTACCAGCTGAGCTACGACGATATCACTACGTAGAAGAGCTAAACGATACTTAAAACGATACTTAAAACGATAGTAAACGGTATGTGTATACAATACATGCGATACATAAATACAAACGATATGAAATGATATATTACGACACATAAAACGACGAAACGACGTTTTGGGATGTTAGAAAGTCAACCCCAGGTTTTGATGTTCTATAAAACTGCCACCTCCTCTATTTTTGTGTCAGCAATCCAAACTGATGAACTAGACCGGTGCTGCCCATGCGACGTTCCTGCCCCAGACCCCTTGCTCCCGCCGCGTTGCGTCCGCTCCCAGTGCGGCCTGGCCCACGATAAGCGTCCACAGTCGGTGACGACAGCTCTCCATGGGGATGGTAGCTTTTGAGCTCGGCAAGGCTCGAACGTGGCTGATGGTCAAGGGAGATGACGCTCAGCCACGTTCAGCCACATAAGTAGGCTAGGCTTCAGCACCCCAATAGTTTAAAAACTGCGAAGGACACGTAATGTGGGATGCATCTGCCCAGCACAGGCTCGCATGTGTGTGTGGTAAGCATAGTTCTCCAATTTTCGATATGTTGATTCGTTATCGGGTCCGGGTTGTTCCATCTTGGAAATATTTCTTAATCTTGTCTCCTTTGTTCCAAGTTATATCTTAGTTGTCCTATATGAACTGTAGTACGTAATCACCATTCACCTTTGGGGAACGTACAATATCAGTTATAATCGGATATGCAGAGAGAATCGGTGAAATATCAAAATGCTACATATTGAGCGGCAAAGAGAGCAGCAGACGCATTTGCCCGTTTGCATGCAAATTTCTCGTATGTTTGTACCCATCACATATTATTACATCACGCTTGTCATCAAGCCGATATTGGCCACACATCGGCACCTTTGCACTTGCACACATAAGGTGTGCATGTGCCGCATCACATCCGGTCGTTGACTGCACAGTCAGCTACATCATACATTCAGGTGGAACTTCGGTAAAGAATGAAGTATATTATGCATCCCAGGTTGCAGCAAGTGTCTGGAATGATCCGTATTACATATCCAATGGTCATTTGCGTCCTGGACCAGAATAGCAGTGCCTTGTGCCGGGATGCAACTTGGGTGCAGAGTAGAGCGCGTCATTGTACGGTGGCCGGCGTGTATCCGGACCCGGCTGACGCACGGATCCAAAGCGTGCCCGCACAGAAACGCCATTACACCACACAGAATGACAAACGGTGCGTATTACGTTGCGCTCCGGGGCCATAACGCACTTGATCGCTCACAAATCTGGGCTGTTATCTTGCGAACGCGCCCGTCGCCGTTCCTCATATCCGCGGGCGTGTTGGCCGCAGCCGTCTCGGCCCGCAGCCAACCGGCCGCGCCTCTGAGCGCCTCCCACCCCCGTCGTCACGGAGAGTACGGGGATGCGTCTGCCGTCTCGGCCCGCAGCCAACCGGCCGCGCCTCTGAGCCTCCCCTCTCCGCCGTCCAGCAGACTACGGGGGATGCGAAAGCATCGTCAGCCTTTGTCGGCCGGCGTCGGCCGGTGTCAGCCTTGACTTCTTGGTGGGGTATGACATGCTCTATACGGATAACAGGGTCTGCATGATGATGTGCTAGACCTAAACTATGCAGCTCTGAAATGGCACAAATATTGGACGATATTCTAGCAAGATCAACAATGGTAATTTGATCGTAATTGATCATCTTGCGGCCGGCCTAAATTATGCAGCTCTGAAATGGCACAAATATTGGACGATATTCTAGCAAGATCAACAATGGTAATTTGATCGTAATTGATCATCTTGCCGGCCGATCGATCCTGTAATTGATGGGAAACTGATCCAGTGAGATCAGTTATCTCGCTGTGCAACCGTATGTTAAAGCCGTCTAGCTACGTGGCTAGCGTTTTTTTTCGGCGCGTGAAGTTCGTAGCGCCTCAGGAGCCAGGCTTCGCGAGCACTGCCATCGCACTGGTTGTTCCTTTTGCCTAGCTGATGCATTAATAGGTCATGTTGTGTGCACCACACACCATGAAATCCGTTCCGAAATGATGTGGCTTAGTCTAGAAGGTGATAGGCCGTATGTCACAACGAAACAGCTCACCAGCGAGCCCTGTCCAGTGGCGGTGCTGGGACGACCGTTCCGAGCCTGGCGCTCTTGCGTGCTGACGTGTGCAGTGCTGGGACGACCGCTCCGAGCCTGGCGCTCTTGCGTCTGACGTGTGCAGTGCTGGGACGACCGCTCCGAGCCTGGCGCCTCTTGAGTGCTGACGTGTGCGGTGCTGGGACGACCGCTCCGAGCCTGGCGCCGGCTGCGTGCTGACGTGACACCTTCCATGCATATTTAGCACACACGGCAAACACTGCTGTGCTGATTACTTAATGCTACTACGAATAATGCATAAAACCGCGTGGAATGTCTTGTTTATGGCTCATTAGCTCACAATTGATAGGCAAATCAGGCTGAAGCATTACAAATACCAGCATCGAACACCTACTGTCTTGCCGCCTTTACACGACCGGAAGGCGCCAAATTGGTAATCCGCACGCGGCACCCCACCTCGTTTATATAGCCAAAGTATGATTTGGAGCGGTTAGTATGTGTGCAAAATTGTACAGCGTCATTGTTTATTGCAAGTCATCTATAGCTTAGGACTGATGCAGAGGCGAGCAGGACGTCCAAAGCGTGGTAATTAAGTCCAGTTTAAGAACATAGTGAGCTTCCCCGCGCCGTATACACCATGCAGTTATCTGGTTAGGTGTCGTAACCGTAGATCGCGCATGGTCTGCCTTTTTACATCGCCAGATGGCAGCACGGACGTTTTTCGTTGGCAGGATCATTGCGGGTCACTAGACTCTGCCACGTAAACAATTTGGTCCGGGGCCCAGCACACTTGCGCAGCACCAACACACTGCTCATATGCGTTCGTTGCCTAACATCACATTTACGTTACATAACGCACCTCGAGTATGGATCTCCATCGAGCATACCATCGAATACGACAGCCGCTGACTGCCGAATGCGGCCGCACTGATGACCTGCGCATCTCCTGGGCCGGTCGGCTAAATTCCAGATGGCGCTCGTCATCCCAAGGTCACCGCGACGAAGCTGACAATCGGGCGCGGCGCGCACACGGCGCTGACGTCACACGGCCAAGCAGACCAGACAGCGGTCGGTACTGGCGACGGCGGACGGTGGCGGCGGCGGGAGCAGCTGAGCACTTGAGCAGCGGTCGGTACTGGCGACGGAGGACGGCGGAGGCGGCGGGAGCAGCTGAGCGTAGACTGCTGACCGCCAACAACGGACCAGGCGCCCAACGCCATGGGGCCCCTCCGCTCGGTGGTCGACGGCCTGCTCGGCATGTTCTACGTGCGTAACGTGACGGCCTCGTTCCGACCGCCGCTGGAACCTATCCCCAACTACATCGAGCAGAGCCTGCCCTACTTCATGGTGCTGGTGGTATTGGAGGCGTTGGTGCTGCGTGTGCGCGGCGGCGGCTGGCGCATCACCGACGCTACTGGCTCCGTGACGCAAGGCCTGGCGCAGGAGGTACTCCGCTACACGCTCCGCGGCTGCGAGGGCTGGGCGTACGTGTACGTGTGGCGCCACTGGCGCTGCTTCGACGTGCCCTGGGACTCGCCGGCTAGCTTTTGGTTGACCATGCTCGGCGTCGACTTTGGCTACTACTGGTTCCACCGGGCGTCGCACGAGGTGAACCTGGTATGGGCGTCGCACCAGGTGCACCACAGCTCCGAGTTCTACAACCTGTCGACGGCGCTGCGCCAGTCGATGGTGCAGCAGTACCTCAGCTGGGGGGTGTACCTGCCACTGGCTCTCCTCGGCGTGGCGCCGTCTATGTTCTTTACGCACGCGCAGTTTAACCTGGTGTACCAGTTCTGGATTCACACAGAGCTGGTGAAGAGCGTCGGCCCGCTAGAGCACGTGCTGAATACGCCCTCTCACCACCGCGTCCACCACGGTTCCAACGTCAAGTACCTGGACAAGAACTACGCCGGTGTGCTGATCGTGTGGGACCGGCTATTCGGCACGTTCTGCTGGGAGGAAGAGACGCCCACCTACGGCCTCGTGCACAACATCGAGTCCTACGACATGTGGACTATTCAGCTGGCGCACTTTCGCTGGATCGCGTCAGATGTGCGCGAACAGGTTGGGTGGAAGAACAAGTTGAAGCGGCTGCTGTATGGGCCGGGCTGGGTGCCGGGCACGGGCCGCTTGGGCGACGCCTCCACCTTCCCAGACCCGGACCCAAAGCGAGCACGCTTCGACACAGCCATGCCTGGCTGGCTGCAGGTCTACACCGCCGTCCACTTCATTGTGACGTTGGTGCCGGCCGTCAATTTCGCACAGAATCACTTGCTCTACCCGGTGCTGACCAGCCTGCTGTACAGCGTGCAGCTGCTGTACGGTCTGACGTGTCTGGGCTGGCTGTTGGACGGCGCCCGACTGGCGCCGCTGGCCGAGCTGCTGCGCTGCTGTCTCTGCCTGGTCAGCCTGTCGTACATCGCCTGGCTGCCGGCCTTCGCGCTCACCGTCGCACGTGCCATCTTCACCGTCTCGCTGCTCGTCTGTATCAGCCTCGGCTGGGGGGACATAACCACTTCCGTCAAGATGGTCAAGGCCAAGATGGAGTAGAGACGGCCCCGTCTGGATGGGACATAAACTTTGACGTGGTGCTGAGCCAGAAGCGCAAAGGTGCACAGGTAGTTGGATGCGGGGAAACTAACGACAGCTGCGATAGCACAGCTCACGTCTGCGGGCGGCCTACCGGCCAGGTCAGCCTTGATCGCACCGGCGGCAGAGCCCCCGTCTGCGGGCGGCCTGCCGGCCAGGTCAGCCTCGGTCGCACCGGCGGCAGAGCCCCCGTCTGCGGGCGGCCTGCCGGCCAGGTCAGCCTTGATCGCACCGGCGGCAGAGCCCCCGTCTGCGGGCGGCCTGCCAGCCAGGTCAGCCTTGATCGCACCGGCGGCACAGCCCCCGTCTGCGGGCGGCCTACCGGCCAGGTCAGCCTCGGTCGCACCGGCGGCAGACTTACAGGGGAGGTGCAAGCGCCGCGTCGCCATCGTTAAAGCGGGATAGCACCATCGTTCCGTGCTTGACCGTCAGCTGGCACGACAGGGAGCGTGGTGAAAGCAACATTCGTCCATTGGACAGGTTCAGCGTCGCTTGCCGTCTCACCTCAGGCGCGCGTTAGTATATGGGCAAACGCCAGGTGGCTAGTGTTTTCTATCAAGGCCGAAAACCGATGCGTTTGTCGATGTATTCGTGTTTATTTTTCATGTAGTTGACGATGTTTTGTGATGGGATTCGCAATTGTTATTACGACGCAATAAATACAGGCCCCAAAATACTTCTTCATCTTTAAGGCGGCCAACAATTCGAAGTCTGAAGTGGATGCGATCTACACATATTTTCGTCTCATGGATATTACCACTTTAATAACGTTAATCACATATATTCAATGCACAAGTATGTAGGTCTTCGGAAAAAACAGAGCAAACGTGGTCGCTATCCTAAGCCATCCAAGCTGTTTTGCATTCGTGTTCTTGGCCAGCATCCACCGGCGTGGGAACAGGAGATGGCGAGCGTTAGGACGGGTGCTTACCTCTCAGCTTTAGGACTGGAGGCCCTTTCCCCTGTTGGCCCGTCCCAGAAATCCCGTCTTCTTTGGTGAGATCCAGACATTGCTGCGTTTTGGTAGAAGATGGCTGCTTTCCGGTTCGTTGTCAAAATGACACATTGTCAGCGATGTATAAATTGTGCGCTGTTTTGTTTATGTTCACGCTTAGCATTCCTTGACATGCGCAGCGTGTGATGCACCTTGGGGGGGGGGGGATGAGCACTGGTATGGGTGTCTACTCTTGCCACTCGCACAGGGGCCGATGGTGGGGGGGGGGGGGGGGGGGGCGTCGAGCACTGGTACAGGTATCTGCTCTTGCCACTCACCTGGAGGCCGAACCAGAATTCTGCCGAAACAGGATCCGCAAGCATACGCTCAAGCTGGCAGCATATACAGATTTATATCCAGGTCGATGCTCGCGATTTTCACCTGTACTAAGTCTCGCCGATGTGAGCCTTTATGCTCGTGTATTAAGATCAATATCTTTTTTTACAAAACCTTTTTTGCAAAAATCGAGAGGTTCCGTTTCAAATTATATGCCTCAGACTCGCCACACCTTGGTTGGTCGATATGAGGAGTGTCGCACTGGAAACGATCTTCCGTGATGATCGAGAGAGATGGTCGGAGCAGCCGAAGCCCCGCGCAGAGGCACACAAGCTTAAGCGTTGGAACCGCAGGGCTCGCGCTGTCAATCGGCTGATTGCGGCCGAGTGGTCGGGACTGGTACTTCTGCATTGGGTGCGGCGATCCATTGGGAAGCATCGGTGTTGGCACTAAAAGGTCCTGACCCGGAATTGACGGACGGGGAAACACGCTCTCCAGGGCGAGTCGCAACACGCAGATTCAAATACCGATGTCAGGATACGGGATACATTGTATCATGTCAACACGGTTTCACCTTCGGTTTAAAACTTCCCTTGGTCGGCTCGAGGCCCCTTACAAACGCAGGACCCCTGTTAGGCACTGTGGGCCCCCTGACCGATGCGGGGTCCCAGACCGCTACAAATCGCTGGCCCCGGGCTTACGGCTGATTGGGGAGTAGGCCCACGGGCTAATACCGACACCGAGCCGATTGTGCGGCACTGGTGGTGTCTGAACGATATACATGCCCATAGAGACTTAAATGGTCCCTGACCGGCGCGCAAAAAGCCCTGGCTGTCATTTGAGGGCCCATACCCGCAGGCCCGGCCCCTGAATAAGACTCTGACCAGACCTTCCGCTTTGTCCCTGCTTGGGGAATGGGCCCTCAGGCCCATGCCGGGACGCAGCCAACTATGCGTTATTGGCGATGTCTAACCAGCGTACAGGCACTAGCCAACTCAGGGGCTCCTGCTCAATGCGCATGGCCCTCTGGCCGACTATGGAGAGCTGGTATTAAAACCAAAGACTAGATTGAAAAGTGTAGAAGTAAAACTACACTGCAAGAGTCCATCTTCTAATTAGTGAACATCGGAAACAACCGATCGACACCTCACACGAAACGGCCGCGTCCACCAGAGGAACCCATAAACAATGTGCCAAATGGTTCCTACTTCTAAAGCTTGAAAATAAGTGTTGGTTTGAGTACCGTATCGTAGGCGTAAGTACTGCCGACCAACAATCCATCAGTGGGTTAGCGTTTTCGACGAAACGCACGACGACGGTCTGTTTCTAGGCGGATAATGTGGTCACAGGTGGTACGATTGCATCTAAATATACACTGCCGGTCCGATACCAGCTTAGCGTGATCCACTAGCCAGGCAAGGCACTTGCCCACCATACGGTCCAGTTTTCCAAGGCACCTGCTGAGCGCACTACGCATGCATGGTTGTGCCTTGAGTGTCCTCACCTGGTTTTGGGAGTGGGATGGTAGTTGCATCCTTCCACTTCTCTGGTAAACATAGGGGAAGATCACAAAACAGATGGGGACCTTCACGCCGGTAGAAGGGACCTATTGACAAAAAACCGGACCATTTCAGCGTTAAACTGCGCCAATCGCACATTTCTGTGACAACGTGTAACCAAATTATGGACATTTGGATCATTGCAAGGCCGGGAAAAGTCGGTGACCTTGCATGCCCTGTAATTTTGTCCTCACGAGTCAAACAGGATTAAGGATTGGCGTCTGCCCATTGTTCCTTACGTACTGCAGGCCTATCAAACTGGCTCGCAATCGGAGGTTAGGAGTAAATGGAGTACTATTTTACATGACATGACTCATGCCAAACCTGAACACAGGTCATCCAGAATTCTAACATAGCATTCCAAACAACTCGTCGCATTTACAATTGTAAAGCAAAATAAAGCCCAATTATAGCCTGGCGCTTCAGAATGTCCGGCCTTCCACACAATGAAAACATCTGTTTGACACAATGTGCGAATGGGAACAGACCGGGATCACATCCTGCGAAGCACTGGCACCTTCTCTCTGTAGGTAATGTAGAAAGAAGGCGAATTGCCAACGTTTTTCTGCCGCATTTCTGAGGTTCAATCGCAGACCGGCCGGCTGCCCGCCTACACTCAGTCACCCATGCGGACATCATCACGTAGAAGGGACGGCGTGGTCTCGACCGTCAACCCAAGCACGTAGAACCCGCTGCCGGTACTACTGGACAACGGCATCACTTACCGCACCATTCAGCCCAGCCGTTTGCTATAGCAGAGCGGTGGAGCGTTGGTCGAGCGGTAACGGCAGGAGACCTCTGGTGCCTTGAGACGCTGGGGCGATCAGCCATTAATGAGTTGTTCAAAACCCAATCAACGACGTATAAATGTATTTCTTGTCAGAAAACTAATCAGGCTCTCTGCGCTGGTCACGCGGTAAACCAACCACATGATGCCTCCAGCAACTGCGCCAGAGTATCTGCTCAGTCCCAACCATAACCCCCACAGCCAGCTCATCGTACATCTCGAGTTCACTGGCTGCTGCGACGTTACAGATAACACGATCACTGGCACTTCACGGGGCTACGGATGATCGGAGCGGGCCGAGCAGCGGCCCACGATACACTATCAGCAGCAGCGCCGCGACTGGGAAACTGCCGACTGGCCGCCGGAGCGGTCACCGGTCCGTTTCGTACACGGACGGAGACAGGGCAACCCGGCGCCGAACAGGCCGCCCTTTTCCCGCTTCCGGTTCAGCTCCGTCCTAGCTCTCCCCACTCCAGTCCGCTACCCTGCTCCCCCCCCCCCCCCCTGTACAGCCGTCCGTCCCCCCCCCACGCACACCCCGTGCGAGCCGGCGCCCTCGTCCGGCCGTGTACACCCGGCCACCCTGCAGCGGCACAGCGGCCGACAGCGCCGTCCCTGGCCAGGTTACACCGGCAGCGGGCGGCCGGCCAACGGCAGCGGGTGGTCGGCCAACGGCCGCGGGCGACCGGTCAGCGGCCGCGGCCGCCGGTTGGTGCGCAGTCGCGCCAGCCCCTCCTGCACCAGCTGCTCAGCCAGCTGGTACCAGCCGGCGCTGCGCGCGCCGTACAAGTCCAGCTCCAGCTGGCCGTCGGGCCGCACGCTGATGACGGTAGCCAGGAGGCATGCGGGCTGCACCAGCTGTTCCAGCCGCTGCACGGCCGCCGTCGGCCAGCCGGATGCCGAGGGCGGCGTGACGTACGCCAGCGCGCATGGCACCGCCTGCCGGCGTGACGGACATGGCACCGCCTGCAGGCGTGACGGACATGGCACCGCCTGCAGGCGTGACGGACATGGCACCGCCTGCAGGCGTGACGGACATGGCACCGCCTGCCGGCGTGACGGACGCGTGACGGACATGGCACCGCCTGCCGGCGTGACGGACATGGCACCGCCTGCCAGCGTGACGGACATGGCACCGCCTGCCGGCGTGACGGACATGGCACCGCCTGCCGGCGTGACGGACATGGCACCGCCTGCCGGCGTGACGGACATGCCGGCACAGACGCGGCCTGACACAGTCACGCACCGACGGCAGCCAATACTAGACCGTTGTGGGGTCAGCTCTCTAGCGGATGGCTTTTGAATGCACTCTATTTTAGAGTCCGCTCGACGTGACATGGCCAGA